CTTGCATGTAGAAATTTATATTTCAAGGATAAATTGTCAATCAAAACCTTTTCTTAAGATATTTCAGGCATTCATGAAGCAGATAAAAGTGGTTGGAGGGAAGGATGGGTTTGGTTCCTTGCCTTTGTTATAAAAACTAGGGAAAGAATGAAGATAAAAGAAGAGTGAATTTCTAATTTCTGAAATGCATATAAAATTATGGCAGATGTAACATACTGGTAAAAAGCCAATGGTCAAAGAGAGAGGTTTAGGTGGAGGAGGTTAAAATCATATTGGAATTGTGATCTAGACAATCTCTCTCTACAGTACTATGTGTATCTCAGGGAAGAGCTGATCAGGGCTGAGTACAGGAAACTACATCCAGTTCTTCATGAGGAGGAAAATCGACATCTAGACATTCTTAGAAAGGAAAGCAAAAGAATTTTAGAGGAACTCAAAAAAAGTGAAGCCAATATGGTTCAAAAGAAGAAAGACTTAAGAGAAATATATGAGGAGCTGGTGAAAATGTCCCATAAACCATATGTGGAGCTGCTCCAGGTAAGAACTGAGTTGTGCATGAAAGTATTTTATATGATTTGGTGTTCTCATTTTGACCACATTATTTGGTAGTTTTTTTATATTTCCTGCATCAATTATGGGGTTCTTTCCTCTTTGGATATAATCTACTTAAAGTTTACCTTCTATCCTGACTATAAATAAGCAAGATTTATGAAACTTTGTGAGTAGCTCTCCTAGAATTTTTTTTTTTTTAATTTTTCTGTTGTATCTTGCTTCTCTAAGATCCAGAAAAATAACAATTTATTCATGAACATTTCATTTTTTGCCTGCCATTTGACAATATGCAGACATCTTGGAAAAGCTTGCATTCTCTTTCTTCTGTTTAAAAGTTATGGAATTGGGGACAGTAAACACTGTGTACTGATATTCTTCATTCTCACACTTTTTAGACCCTCTGGATTCTGATTTAATCACAAATTCAGAATCTTTAAATATGCTTTACTGGTACTGTCCTGAGAGATGAAAATGAATTCATAAGAAGCATTGATGTGATGATATTTGATGCTACATGATCTTTCCAAAAACAAAATACTATTCAGTTTCTTAAAAAAAAATAAGCCCTTTTTTTGTTTTCTTTGCAGGACTTGGGAGACCTATTGGCCAGGTAAATTTTGACTTTAGTGTAAACTGGGATACCATGGAGAGCTATGAAAGTGTTTAAGTTGTTTATAACAAAGTGAAGGCATATTTTATGTAGAGAGTAATCAACTGTGTCTTCATGTGTTTGTTTGAATATGATTTCCTCTTCCCCTTTATGAGAAGTCAGCCTGTATTTCCCCTGTTGGTCGAGGGATATATGTCATCCTGGGCTGAATGTTGATGTTCATAAATGCAACCATGTATGATTTGACATTGTAAATCAGAAACATTGAGGTGCATGGGACAGTTTTTCCTAGTTAGCTAATGAGAGACATGGGTACCTCTGAGAAATGGGTTGTTAACTGGCAAATTAAGTAGGAAAGATTCCTAGAAACAGTCCCCTCTCATGTTCACAGAGGTACATTCATGAGAAAAAGGTTTCAAGAAACATTTTCAGCAGAATTGTTGTTTAGTTCCTTAAAAACTGTGATGTCATTTTTGTCACCAGAAGATTCATGTCCTCTTCCTACTTTCAGGAGTGAATCAGTGCAGCTGCACTTGCCTCAGCCAATAAAGCCAGCACTTCCTGCCCAGACCATCACTGGACTGATAGACAGGCTCAAGTGTTTCCAAGGTGAGTGTCAGCCCAGTGATGGGAGCATAGTGTAATGACTTTCAATAATGATTTTCTATGGGAAACCTTTCCATTTATTAACCTTTAATTTACCCAAAGGGAATGGTCTGCCAATTGGTATTTATAATTATATTTAGTAATCTGATCACCATGATTAAATAAGGAAAAAAATAAGTGATCACTGGTAAAATAATAAATGTGGTTTGGGCTATACATACAAAACCATTTCAATCAATAAGACAATTATAAATTAGTTCAGTATGTTCCCTTTTTAAATGAAGTGCACTGAGTGATGAAGGTTATTTAAACATTACCCTTAAAATGTCTTAGAAATTGAATGTGTGATACATATTTTATTAAAAATATATATAAATATAATATACTAAATGCATTAAATTTAATATAATAGCATGTATGAACAAACATAAAATAACTGAATGCACAGAGCAATATTTCACAAGCATCAAAAAAAGACAAGTTGGTATATGATGAAGCAGTTTTTCGATTTCCATGGTAGGACTAAATAGGAACCATAGCAAGGAATTTATTGCTTTGGATTGAATGGGAATGCAGACCTCCAATTTCTCAGATGAAATGAATAGTAGCAAGCTGGAAGTAGACATGCCCACCCTTTTATTACAGTGTCCATATATTTATCAGTGTTTTCATTGTGATTGAACTATTTTTCATTCTGCAGTATTCTAGAAACCTGTGAGTGCAATGCACTTCAGCCACAATTACCCCTCTTCTTCTGCCACCCCCTCCCCTCCCACATTAAGTCTCAGGTAGACCTTCTCATCTAACAGCAATTTAAAAGTTGGTTTTGATTTGAATATTCTCTTCATTCTACAGTGGAAATATCCTTTGAAAATACAGTGTCCAGTGATAACCTCAAGCTATTTGATGATGTGAGAAGTTTGAGATTTGGCCACGTCCTTCCAGACTTATCTTTGAATTCTGATGGAATTAAATATTTTGCTGCATGGGGAACAGAGACTTTCAACTCTGGGAAACTGTACTGGGAATTAGATATGAAGGACCCTTTGAACTGGGCTGTAGGAGTCTGTAAGGATTCCTGGATAAGAAGGAATGGCACAGTGATTGAATCCGAAGATGTGTTTCTTCTCCTTTTTGTCAAGGAAGATGATGACCATAGTCTCTTGACAACCTCCCCAATGCTTTCTCACTATATAGAGAAGCCTCAGGGCCGAGTTGGTGTGTTCCTTGATTTTGAGAGTGAAAGTGTGAGTTTTGTGAACGTTGCCAAGAGTTCTCTTATATGGCGGTACCCTTCAGGCTCTTTGAATTTCCCAGTCAGGCCTTTTGTTCACACTGGCCACAAGTGAACAGGGATAAGTCAGGAACTCTATGCCTGGGGAATTTACATTTCAGGAAGCTCTTCCTAGTTGAAGTTTACAATACTGTACTTTAGTGCTTTTTAAGTAATTTGTACTTGATCCAGACATGGTGGCACATGCCTATTAATTCACAAATAATTTCGTTAATTTGGGAGTCTAATGTAGAAGGACTTCAAGTTTGAGGCCAGCCTGGGCAACTTGGCAAGACCCTGTCTCAAAATAATTAAAAATAATAATAAAAAGAAGAAGAAGAAAAAAAAATCCTGGGAATGTAGTTCTTTGGTAGAATACCCCTGGGTTTAATACCCAATGAAAAAATAAAAATGGCATTTTGTTGAATATAACTGTCTTTTTAAATATAAAGACAGTGTAAATTACCAAATTGTGTTGACTCAATTTTTTTTCTTTTAATGATGGTCATCTTTTGTGGAACATAAAATGATTGGCAAACTATGTGTTCCAGATGCACTACATGCTGTGACTGCTTACATGTTTTGTGAATTTGTCATATTTAAGGTTGCATAATTTTATGATTTAAGCTGAATGACATTTTTAGGATGGATTTTTATATCATTCTCTGCAATAAACATTATTTTGTTGTTTTCATCTTTGTATTGATCTAAGAAAATATAATGTATTTTTCTTTGGGAAATAAAAACAAATGAAGTTCTTTCTCACACTCAGTACAAGGACTCATTTTTTCACTGAAGCCAGTAAACTTGGACCTTCCTCTTTCCCTTATATTTCCTAAACTATTTTAAAGGAGTTTTATGTTAACAGCAAAACTGAGAGGAAATTAAAAAAAAAATTACATGTATTAACTGCCCCCTCTTTCTAAATACAAGTGTGTAGCTTCACTGGTTTCCAAAATCCCTAGTCAGAATGATACATTTGTTAAAACCAATGAACTTATTTTAATACACAGACTATGTGGATATCACATATTTTAATATCATATAATGAGGAAAGAAGTTTTTTGTGTTCTTTCTTTCTAAAAATATATCTAGTCTATGTATGAGAAAAATAGCTGGAAACCAAAACTGAAGATCATTTTACAAAAGACCTATGTAGTATTCCTTAAAATTGTGAAGGTCATGAAAAGTAAGAAAAGAAGCTCTTTCAACTCAAACCAAAGGAGATGTGAGAGTGAATTCAATGATCCATTCTAGGTTGGATCGTGGAATAGAACATAGGATGTTCATATAGAAGCTGGTGAGATCTCAAAATGTCTCACTTCAGTTTGTGATAACCTCCCAAAGTAGGCTTCCTATTTTTGCAAATTGTGCCATGGAAATGTATGATCATTTTAGGGGAGAAACAAACTGGGCATGGAAATACAAAGTAAGTCATTCCATCACATTTTTAACATCTCTTTAAATATAAAATATTTTCAAGTTAAATTTGAAAAGTTTTAGGACAAATATCTATATGTCCATGCTCCATGACATGCTTATGTTGTGAACAAGGCAAGTTTTAGAGGAACATATGGTGTAATTAAGTTTTTGAAAAATGTTCACTTACACTGATGCTTCATCCATGAAATTTGGTCAGTGGCTGAAGTGTGAATCCCTGTGCAGTACTGAGCCTCTGAATATGTAGAGCTTGGACAACATTCCTTCTGAGTTCTGCTGTTTGTCCTATTTCTCAGTTGCAATAGCAGTTGTGGTTGTCAGTTTAAATGAAACATTTTATGCTTGAACTTGATGGTACTTTGTGACAATTTGATGACAGACATTGATGAAAACACACTTTCACACCTTGCTCCTTAAAGTGAAATCCTTAGAGGAATGATTGTGCCCATGGTGGCCTGACAAATATAAAACTTGGTCAATGCTCTTTAAGGAAAGAGAAACAATTTAATGTATCTAAAATTTCATATTGAATTATCTTTAGGGACTAATAGGCCATACAGTGTTATGGGTCTGAATAGTTGATATGAAGTAATGAGTGCAATCACTGCTCAGAAATGGATGAATCCAACTGCAGCCATATGTAAATGACAAAATGGCAATGGCTTGAATGATAAGAGTTTTTTCATTCATGGTAACAAACATACTTCTGCAGGGCAGAACTTGGATAGTGGCCAGGGATGTGTGTGTAGGATGGAAGAGAACATATGGGAACTCGACTTTCTACTCAATTTCCTGTGGATGAAAAATTGCTCTAAAAATAAATGTGTTATTAAAAATATGAAGAGGCCCAACTGCTGTTCATGGTGAATATGTTTTAAGTAGTGTCATTTTGTGGTTTCTCAACAGATGAATAATATTTGCATTTTACATACACAGAGAATATTTGAATATAAAAGACCAGATTCTATGATTCTAAGTAAAGCATTTATGAAAAGTATGGCTATAATCACTTGATGAACATTTAGAAAAATGAATTTAAGAACAAGCTCATATATTATTCTGTATTTCAGAGATCAAAAACTATTTTTCTCAATGCATCCAAATAAAATTATGGGGGTCAAAATAGGTGCAAATGTAGGACCCCATAATCATCAACTATGCTTTGAGTGTTAGTTTCACAGGGGAAACGTTCCACAGAGTGACAATCAAGGCAAAATCTTGGATTTTTGTACTGATGTTTTATCTTATTTGTTCAAGGAGTAATCTAGTGTCAGTTATATTAAATCCAAAATTTTATCCTTTTGGTGATATTTCTCTTTTTTTTCATTTTTCCTACTAGCCTGTATAATGCACATGATATATGATCATGCACTTCAATTATCAGTGTCAGTTACTATTTTTCTTATTACTTTGAGTCTCAGAAGTCTCTTAGCCTTGATATCTCCACTTTGGGTGCTGAGTGTAGTAACTGGAGGCACATAAGATAAAATGAAGACAATTAGGATTTGGACTCTCCCAGTGTGACCCTCCATGTATATTAGGAATGTGATCTAGGCCTACCATAAAAAATTCACAGAGTAGGTGCCTTTGAACAATTTATTTTCATACCTCTGGAGGCCAGAAGTCTGAATTCAAATGATTAAAAAGGTCAAACGCCCTCCAAATGCTGTGTGGGGAAATCCTTTCTTGTCCTTTCCATTCTGCTGGCTTCTTGATTTCTTTGGTTTGTGTCTTTAGAATTCTATGCCTTTCAGACAGGTGTAATGGCACATATCTGTAATCCCAGCTACCTTTGAGGCTGAGGTAAGAGAATCACAAGTTTGAGGTCAGTGTTGGGCAGGCCCCAAGTGGCAGTAGTTAGGCTCTCTGGTCAAGGCTTCTAGTGGGTTATGTTTTCAGTATGTAGCCAAGGTCTGGAATATCCTGATTCTGCAGCTGCACTCAAGGTCATAAACATTTGCTTCTGAACATGCTCCAACTTATATAATTTATTGAAAATTTTCTTTGCATTGCCTCAAAAAATGGCATATGAAGTCACTCAGGGTCTAGATGGAACTGGCTGGGGTAAATGGAACTGGCTGGGGCAAAATGGAACTGGTATTTAAACCTGGGGACTACTGCCACCTCTAAATAAAGTATATCTGTTATCCCAACTGAGTCTTTCATCTTCTTCCACAACCCAGCATCCAGAACAATTTTCCCAGTTTCTGAGCCTCCACCCCACAGCCAGCCTCAGAAACTAGGCAACTCCCTTAGTTCTGAAAGCTAAAGTTGAAAATCATGGTGCTGACTGGGTTGCCTCTCGCTGGCAGCTGTGAAGAATTCCTGTACTATGCCTCTTTCCTGGTTCCTGGTGGCCGATGGCAAGCTTGGCTCTCATTGGATTATGGCAGCATTTCTCAATCTCTACCTCTCTCTTCAAATGGCTCTCCTCTGTCAATGTCTCAAATATTCTTTCTCTAAGAAGGACACTAATCATTGAATGTAGGTACCAACATAAATCCTGGGTGATCTTATCTTGAGGTCTTTAAATTAATTACATTGCAAAGCTTATATTTCCAAATAAGTTCACATTTACAACTACCAGATCCCAGGTCCCAGATCTCTCTAGAAGACAATGTTTAACCCATTATAGTTTATAAAAATTCCTGACATCAAAACACCACATAACAGTAAAAACAAAAATACAAATGTATTTCCACTTCTCTACATACCATTGGAACTTTTAAAATTGGGGATGAGAAGTCCGTGGTTTTGTTTGTTTGTTTGTTTGTTTGTTTCAGAATAGGAAAATAACTCCGTACTTCCTGCACACTGTGCAAGCACTCTTCAACCCTCTCTTTTAGGCTTTTCACTGAGGAGGATTATAGGTATTTTCATCTGAACTTGGCACTCTGGCCTCCTGTCATGGTCAGCTTCTTGTGTGTACAACAGCTTGCCTATCAGTTAATTCCAAGGCAGCAATATCAATCCACAGATTAAGGTTTACTCTGTAAACTTTCTGCAGTTCCACAGCCTGTCTCTCACACTGTTTCTTCAGGTGCTGTGAGATGTGATGCCAGCTCTATCATGGAATCAATTCCTCAGGGGTACCTGTTGCAGATACTTACTCAAATACAAATCCTGATAGAACTTTTGGTGTCCTGAGGTCAGGGATGTGGTTGACTGGTAGAGCACTTGCCTGGCACAAATGGGGTAGTGGGTTTGATTTTCAGCACCAACAAATCAAACAAACAAACAAATAAATAAATAAATAAAAACTTGTGGTGTCTTTTCATGTGTAGCCTCTTTGGCTATCCCTGAAATTTCATCTTCTTCTTCAAAAAAAATAATAGTTTCTGGATATCTCACTTTTTCCACATTTCTTAAATCTTCTTCTGATTGGTTCAGTGCCTCTTGGGGAAAGCATATTTCTTGGAGTCTTGAACTACATTGGATAGTCTTCACTTAGTTGGTAAGTTTTCTCTCAAAGTACTTTTTCTCCTGGAAATCTTGAATGTACTTTAGTTTCATTTGCTCTGGAACCTCCTCCATGGGATTTTGGTCAGGTCCCAGTTGCTTAGTTCAGAGTTCTGGGAAATAATTATTCCTGAGTTGCTTTGAGAAGTTCAAGTTTCTGACTTTTTTTAAGCATTA